CTAAACGCAAAAAAGACTACTGTACGGTGTGGTGCACAAAGCACAAGTGACGCAGGCGCACAACCTATTTTGTAATGAAATCCTGTGTTAAACCACTTCGGATGCATCAGAACTTCAGCGACGGGGTTTAGGGAAGGGAACACTCACTTTCTCCGCGCGGTCCCACAGACTGGTACTTCCCATGAAATCGTCGGGACGAGTAGCGAGGTAAAACTCGAACGTGAATCCAAAAATACCATAGGTATGTTGGACAAACTTTATGGCATTATTTATTTCTTCTTCGATCTGCAAATGAACAAAAATTACACAAATTGAAGGCCCCCTTCTGGGTCACAGATAGAGCTTTCGTGAAATCCAACCAAAAGCTTAATTCTTCTTCCAAAATGGACTGCCACATGACGGGCCCTAATACTCCTGTTTACCCAGATTCATTCAAACAGTTAAAAGCAAAATGTGTGGTCGGTGCCTTGGCAGACACAATTTTCTCGGAACCTAAGAAACCCAAAACCCTGCCATTCTCACGCTACCTGTCCTCACAAATGAACGACGACCTGAACGTTCTACTACTAGGGGAAACTCACTTCGACTAGCGAATTCATGGTATGGAAGAATATCTATCGTCAGCACCACAACCACAAGAGAGCCTCTACAAGTATCTCCATTTTTTTTTAACTAGACTAGGGTCATTTTTTTTACTTAAAAAACGCATCCAGAATTTTAAGTTCGATTGCCGTCTTCTCGGCTTACCTGATCTTCCCGACAAAATATGTGTGCATCGTCTTGCTGAAAACGACGCACACGAGTCAGGCCTGTAAGCGCTCCGGAAAATTCATTACGATGAAGAACACCGAAGTCAGCAAAACGCAATGGCAAATCCCGGTGGGAACGCAGTTCCTGGGCAAACATGAGACAATGTCCGGGACAGTTCATCGGCTTAAGCCCAAATATCTTCTTCTCGATATCAATTTTAAACATGTTCTCCTAAAAGAAATACAACAAGCATAACCAGCGAAGCCACCAACTTGCAAAGTAGCTAACAGAACTGGGAAACTCTCAAGAGTATTTCCACGCATCCAAGGCAAGAGTAAAGAACTAATAGCAGTGCCTGCTGTTTGTGGGCTTAGCACCTGGGAACTTACGCTGTAATGTTGCCAGTGGCCACTTATCTCCCACAGTTTTGAGTCGTAGATGTTGGGCGTTATGACTTCCTGGAAGCCGCGTTTCCAGTATTCACTACGCATCAATTCAACCAGCTTATTGTAAATATGGGCGCCAGACGGAAGGAAGAAGCAACTTCCAGGGGACAGCTCATTGAAGAAGAAGAGTTTGTGCTCCAAACCAAGCTTTCGGTGATCGCGCTTCGCCGCTTCCTCCTGTTAACAATAATGAACTAACAACCGTTAAATCAAATACACACCCCACAAACTTTCCGGACGACCACGGCGATGCCAATAAATCAAATACACGAAGGTGACCACATGTATATTTTTTTCTATTCTCCCTTTAACTTATGATTTTCAATCAGACACATTAGATAAGTGACAAATACACCAGCCAAATTCGACCATACACCCTTACGATTCACGGTACCTGTCACGCCAGTACCAAGCCGCTCAAGTACAAGGGGTAAATTACTACATGTCGTTTGTAACAAAAGGACCAAGTTCAAATACCTGCCACGACCCAACTCGGTCCATGTTCTGGAGAGTTGCAACACTAATGACGACTAAAAGGTTGGAGAAGTCCCCAGAACTCGTTTCAGCGGAAGCCACTTACCTGTAGGTGTTTCCATTCGTCCATTGCCTGTTGTGTAGGGAAAGAAATGCCGTAAACACGCTGGAGAGACTCAGCGTCAGCTCTACCTTCCCAGTAAGACGAGCTGCTCTTGGTGACACTGATGGACTTGATGCACCCTAACAACCCAGAATTGAGATATCGTGTTAGTTCACAGATCAGCCATATTCAACTACGTCTACTAACATGCACTTAACGCCTTCATCGTAGTCTGTAGTGGTGTGAGACTCCTTAGTAAAAGGTACAACAAATTTAGGTAAATCACCCGTGCTCCAATAACCATCAACGATCTTGTGAGCTATGTAAGATCAACTTATAAGGGCGGAATGTGGAGGCTTTACTATGTGAAAAAAAACAGGTGCAATCGCATAATAGAAGGTAAAGTAACCCAATTAGAATGACGGATTAGTCCCTCTTGATAGCGAAAATGTCAAGATTACGCAAAGAAGAGAACCAACTCGACATACCGGTATTACGAACATGCGGTCCCAAGCAGAGATCAATAAGGCTTCCACATTTGTACACTGTGGTCTTTGGTTCGGTGATACGCTCCTTCAGAATCCGTACCTTGAATTCATTGTAAGCAAACATCTTCAGCAAATCCTCTTTGCTCATCACTAAACGTTCGAAAGGCTGTTTCTCCTTGATGATGGCATTGCACTCTGTGTTGATTGCAGGATAATCCTCGGGGCGTACTTGTCTACAGTTCAAGACAGATTTCCGGCCTACTTGTGCTGCCAACACATTCCAACAACTGACTCACGCAATAAAAAATTAAAACGATCGCGCGTTTTCTCAACACCAAATTCGTCCAAGTCTAGAACTATCTACGCAAATACTGACTGCATGAACGGTAACTCATTTACACAGCGTTTCTAACCAGCATTTTGTGTTAGGTCGTGCTTCCATTTACAAACAACACACAGGACTTATGATTTTAGGATAATGCTTTACTGTGCACCAGTGATAGTTGTTATTTCTTTACCGTGGAAAGGAAATACGTACATTCATTGTGAAAATACTAAAACTAATTGTTTTTACCACACTATATACACCCGATAAGGCCACATTTGGAATCAGACGTCCGGTTTCCTCCTTGTTTCCTAAGGTCAGTTTAGGGGCTTAAAAGTTACACGTTTTGAACCTTAAAAGGCTACAACCTTACCGTCCCTCGGTGAACATATCGTAGTAAAAGCCTTCTTCGACAGGCGGGCCGTAGCAAAGGTGACCACCGAAAATCTTTTCCATTGCCTCCCCCATCACGTGGGCAGAGGAATGCCAGAAGACGTATTGACCTAAACAAGGAAAAGAAGAGCAATAATAAAAATTCAATCACCACCCCAAACTACTCTTGATCCCCTACGTAATTGACATCTGAGATAAAAACACAGTGGAAGGAGGTCATTTGAATGCTAATATTAACGACTGAGTAGAGTGAATAAATTCGAGCTTAAGGCTCTGACCGCGGAACACAAAACTAATTAGTGGTCGAGTTGTAACTCAACAATAAACCTGTAACCAACAAATCACATGAACTAAGTGTACATTAAAACCAACCCCCAAATTTGACTGGGCCACTTCATGCAGGTGACTTTCTGCAGTGAATAAACGGAGGAACGAGAACGAAACTACGTAAAACATACCGTCTTTGTCTTCGAAATTCAGAAATTCAAGCGAAGCATTTCCTTCGAGAGGCCGTTCAAGATCCCATAGCTTTCCATTAACTTTGGCGATAACAATTTTATCAGCAATTTTCTTGCTAAAAGTAAGGTGTGTTATTAGAACGACATTAAGCAACAGTAAGACACAGGAAGTACAACCATCAAATAAACGATCGGTAACCTGTCACCAGCAGCGATATCGGAACCACGTCAAAATAACACGAAAGCAAGTACAAGTCATACCCGAGTGGATTACCTATACTGAGTATTCATTCAGGTTTAGATCCACAGTCAAGTACCTGTCTAGTGTTTTAAGTTGTGTGAGGAATGCAACGCCAATGAAACTGTGATAAACCTAACGATAAAATCCCCTGTGTTAATTGTGAAGTGATTCGAAAAGTAGAGCAACATAAAACAACGAAGTGGCATTCAAAGATAATGTAGCATAATGCGAGATTTGCTTATTACTCACTTCAATTTTCGTGCAATATCAATCGGACGAGTCTCCCAAGCCTTCCCTTCAAGCGCTGACCCATCAGGAAGGGTAATTTCGATTGGTGAACGAGCCTGAGCGGCGACAAATTGATCATATTCCTTCTTGAGCTGTTGCCAAATACGCTCCCGATGTGCGATAAACTCGATCGGTGGTGGGGCTGAAGCTTCGGACACAAAGTGGGAAATACCACATGCAACTGAGCTCTATAAAACCCAACAACAAACAACATCGACAGATAACAACCGTAATCAGACAGATGCTCGCAACTAAACACCCCAATGAAACCCAAGAGAATGTAGGTACTTACACAGGAGCTTTGCAAGTCCAGACTCCACAACTAGATGACACTACATAGGACCTGTGAGGACCACATGTATTTGCTACTTTGTTAACTCGTGTACAATTTGTTGCCATCCAATCACTTAAGCATATGCCAGAAAAGCCGCTGTAATTAATAAATGAGGCGTTTCGATAGATACTTACGGGCCACTTTGGCAGTTAAACATCAACACGGGTGAATACATTTGTGAAATACAATAAGGTCGCCAAAGATGACGCAGGAGATTACGCAATAATAAACGCACCATAATCTTCGAAGCAAATGGAAAACCAAGAACACGCGCGCGACCAACGATTGAAGCAATGTGCATGCGACGGTTAAGCAACTAATTAGAATGTTCAAACAAAGACTACGATTCAGATATTTTGTAGTACAATGCTGATTTTAAATGATTCGCATTACCAATTTGCTTTTATTTTTTACATTAGACGGTCGGCACTTTGCCTAAGCTCAGAAGCTTAGTGCAATGGTTTGTAATCAGTATGTTCGGGCACCCTGCTCACGTTAATTTTTACGGTGCACAGAAAAGAAATAAATAAGGCACAAGGAAAAAGAAAACACTAAACGGATTGCAAAATTAACAAATTAAATTTGGACAAAAAATCAAAAATATTTAAATTTATTAATTTCAATTAAACTAAAATTTTAAAATGTATAATGTCTTTTCTTTTTCCTTGTACCTGACAAATTATTTTTGCGATGTACTTAATGCTGGCTTTTTCCTTGTACCTTATTTATTTCTTTTCTGTGCACCGTAAAAATTAACGTGAGCAGGGTGCCCGAACATACTGATTACAAACCATTGCAC